CAAGGCTGGAGCCAGAGCCAGTAGTCATTTTTTCCCTCCTACCTGGTGGCCCAGGTGCAGGGACAGTGGGCAGAGGTGGCAGGAGAGGCAGCCGGGGCAGGGAGGCAGAGCTGCAGAAGGTTGGCAGCAGCTGCCCTACCAGGCACAGGGCACTGCTCCCTTGTGAGATGGGCCCAGCCCGACTCTTGGAAGCACCCCTCGTCCTCATAGAGAGATGTCCACTCCACAGGGACACTGAGTGTTCTGGCTGGCTTCTGCGGACAGGTAGAGAGCTGAGGTCCAGCCAGGGCCCACAAAGCACCCAGCACTTGCAGTTCCGAGAGTCGACCTCCTAGAGGAAGGGCCCTTGGTGGGCAGGGCTGAGAGGACAAGTGCAGCCCAACAGTGCGGAGGCAGGAGCGAGGGCTGCATGCAGCAGCAGCCCCCTTTGCTGTCCACAGGAGCTCATCAGTGGGGGAGGGGGCTTCTTCCAGCCATGGCCAGAGCCTGCAGCCCCCATCCCTCCCCATCTGTAGCAGCCAGTTTCCCACCTGCACTCCCAGGGGCCCTTCCTCCAGGCTTCCCTGGTGTGTCTAGAGGTCTTGTGAAAGTTAAGGAGGAGGCCAGGCAGGGGGGCTCTGGGGACAGGGCTCAGGAGGGGCTTAGGGCCAGGGTGGGGACTGCGGGCCAGGCCCTGGTACCTGGAAACTCCACCCCAGAGAGCCATCCCCACCCGGGATGCTGAGGCGTGGGAAGCCCCTGTGTCCTCTTATGGCTGGAGTAGCTGGACACACCTGGGCTGGTGGCAACCGGCAGGCACAGCAAGGAGCTGCCTGAATGCTAGTGGTGTGGCAGTACGAGGCGGCAGAGAGGCTTCCCTACAGAGAAGAGGTATCTGCACAGGGTATCTACATCCTCCCACTCCTGAACTCCCCTCCTGCCCATCCAGGACACCCATGTCCCTACATCCTGAGGGCCAGCCTGGCCAGAAGGGATCCAGGAGAGAAGTCCCAGCCCAGTCCTGGCTGTGCATCCTCAGGCATGTTGCCTGACCTCTCTGAAGCACCAGGGTGTGTGATTGGTGCTCACAGGAGCCACACAGTGAAATTCAGGTCCAGTTCCAGCCCAGCTGGCTCCAAACATCCTACGTTCTGTCTCCCCTGCTCTGCAGCCTCCACTTCCCTGTCCTGCAGTGGGGTGCAAAGGGCCTCTGTTTGGGCCTCCAGTGCAGGTTGGGCAACCTTGCCTGGGGCTGAGCTGGGTCTGGGTGCTGGGCCTGGAGGAGCCTGCAGACACGGGGGCCAATGTGGTGGCCACTCTCCCTACTCCCACCCACTCAGCACGAATGCAGCTGTCCAGAGCTCTATGGGGACCCTGGGGCAAGGGTCCCCTTGGGAAGGCAGCCTTGGACAAGGTCTGCCAGGGCAAGGAGAACACCTATCCACACCAGGCTCTGGATGGGGGCACCCAGGAATTCTGGAGGACAGCCCTGGACCAGCCACCTTGGACCTGCAGCCTCCTTCTCTGCAGAAAGCCCCACTCTGCAGGAGGTGCTGCAGGGAGTTCCTGATCTCCAGAGCCCAGGAATTGCCCACCACCACACGGGGAGGCAGGGATGAGTCCAGACAAGGGCCCAGGCAGGACCAGGGCCAGGCCTGCTGCCAGGTTGCCCACTGGAGGGACGAGAGCAGTGGCACCTGCTGACAGTAGCACAGCTATCATGTGGACAGGCCAGGGAGGGGACCCCGTCTCTCTGACAGTGGCAAAGCGTGTCTGTTAAACCCCATATGCTGGGTTAGAGAGGCAGTGGGACACCTAACCCCCAGCCTCAATGCACTTGTGGGGATGTGCTTAGGGCCACTGTCCTGGCCCAGGATGAGACAGCAGTTATTTATTTTTAAAAATGACCAAGAAATGGAAGAAGATGAGAAAGTCACATTCAATTTTCTTCAAAGTGATAAAAGCTCAAGGGGCACAGGCCAGCCCAGGCAGGTTGAGGATGGTCCTCAGAAAGAGGCTGGAGACCTGTCACTAGCACCTTCATTTCCCATCCAGTGAGAGGGCAAGAGTGACAGCCAGGAGCATGGTGAATGCCAGCTGTGAGCCCTTGGTTCAACCAGGAATGAAGGAGGGAAGACCGTGGCTGTGTGGCAACCTCAAGATGCTTGGGAGAATGACTGGGAGCTTCCCCATGAGAGGGACATAGGTGGCAACGTGGTGCCCAAGCACAAGGGAACCCTGGACACCTGCTGGGATGGGCCCTGAGGACAGGGTGCTGGGTGACATAAACCAGTCACAAAAGGGCCAATCCTCTAGGGGAGCCACAGCCACATGGGTAGAGAAGTGATAAGGCTCCTCTCTCCTGGGCCCCTGCCTGGCTCCAGGGGCCCTGGGCCTGAGCCCTGAGGCTGTTCAGAGCAAGGGGACAAACACAGGCTTGGCCAGGGCAGGACAGGCCTAAGTGAGGGAGCAGCAGGAGCCCTGCCAACATGAGGGCAGCTCTGGGATGCCCTCACTCCTGGCCGCCTGCTCAGGCTCATGACCCTCACCTCGTGAACTTGGGTGGAGGGGCCATGCTCTTGGATTTGCTGGCCCCATCTTGGCCTTCTCGCTGCCCTGCACTGACCAGGGGTGTCAGCCCATAGGAGCCCAGCAGGGCATGAGCCTGGGGGCCGGTCCATCTCCATCCAGGGAGGAAAAGCCCCAGGGCCAACCAATCAACTGCCGTGATCAGGATCTCCTCACACTGCTCCCGGGTGACACTTCTTTCCATGCGGGAGGTGCCTCAGGAAGCGTGGGGATAGGGAGCCCCAGAGGCGAGCAGGAGAGAGTCACAAGTGGATGTCCTTGAATGGTTTCCTGGGACCCCACAGCCCCACCAACTCCCACCTTGGCAGACTCTTTGATGGGAAGCAATGGCATCCCCAGCCCCCTGGCCACCTATGTCCCATCTATTCTGCCCAGTGCCTACCCTCACCCCTGCTGCTCTCACTTTCCCCAGGACACCACAGCAGGGTGGGGACACGCCCTCCCCAGCACCCACCTGGGACCCCCAACATGAGGAGGTAGGTGGGCTGGCAGGAGCCACTGCCCAGTCCTGTGAGCCCAGACTTACTCGGCTGCCATCCTAGCGGGGGAATGCCTACTCTGCCTGTGGGGGCTGCTCCCCAACACCCACCTTTCCTGACCTGCACCCTGCCCTGCTGGGCAAATAGAGACCTCCTGTCCCCCATCCTCGTCCCTGCCTCGCAGGCCGGATTTCCTGAGCAAGGTCACTCTGGGAACCGCTGGAGCCCAGTGGCCAATAAAACCCATCGATGCGGACGGAGCGCCCATAAAGCAGGTTGCCGCTCCCGCCCAGGATGTTTGCCCTGCACCGCCCCCATCCTACTGGCCGCAGCCTGCAGATGGTGGAGGCTCTGAGTCCTCTGTGGTGTCTCTGCCCCTCGGTCACATCTGTGGAGACTGGGGACCTCAAGATGTCAACGGAAGGGCAGGGAGCAGCTCAAGGACTCCAAGGGCTGTCCAAGCTCAGGCCTTTACACAGGTGCCCTGAGGTGTCCTACCTTGCCCAGACAGGTCAGGACTGGTCCTAGGGGCCATGGGCTGCATAGAACCTCCCAGAACATCCCACAGGCTCAGCCCACCATCTGAGGTCTCTCTCTCCCTCATGCCCCAACTGGAAGCCAGCATGGCCCTATGCCATGCCAGGGACAATGATTCTGCCTCTTCAGCACCCTGGGAGCCCACACTCCCCGCCCCAGATACCTGGCCTGGGCCGGCCGCCTTGCCCCTTCCCTGGAGGGCCTGCCCTCCATCGGCTCCCTCTCTCTCCAGTCTTGGTGCTCCTGATCTCTCCTGTCCTCCTTCCTTCCCGGAAGCCAGGACAGGTCATCACCTGCTGTCTGTGCTGTCCAAGCCATCCCACCCCAGGCTGGAGAGCTCAGGTCTGTGCTCCTTTGCCTCTGGATCTTCACACATGCTGTTTCCTTTGCCTGGAATGCACTTCAATGCTCCCTGCAACTAAACCCCAGTGGGCACACAGTAGGTGCACACCAGTGCTTGTCCAAGGACACACACTTTCCGATCTCCCAGGCCAGGGGCCCGCACTAGTGAGATGTGAACCAGGTTCAGCGGTGGGGCCTCCCTGGAGCTCACTGTCCCTGATGGGCCTCGGGGCAAAGGCTTATGCTGCTCAGGTTGACCAGAGTGGGGTGTGCCCCCAATGAGGGGAAGACGATCAGCAAAGGCAGCCAGGTGAGCACCTGCAGCCAGGTGAGCATGTGGGTCCAGCAGGGCTGTGGGGCTGGGGTGTTAGACAGAGGGACAAGGGGTCCTGGGGCTGGTGTCTGGACAATGCTACAATTTCACAGGGGCCTCAGACTGACAAGATGGGGCAGGAGGCTTCCAGGAGGGCCAAGCATCCTCTGGGGGGGGCACCTGCCTTACTGCACAGAGGCCCTGTAGTCCTTTCTCTGTGACTAGGAGCTGGCCTGCTGAGCTCCGGGCAGGACATTCTGCTGGCCCCACCCAGGGAGGGCCTCTGTCAGATCTGATCGACTGGGGAGATTGGTCTGGGCAGAGATTTCCGAGCCATCTGCTCTCCCCCAAGCTGTTCCAACAGGAGCATCTTTTATCCAAATCCTAGGGGAGGCCTTACAGGAGGTGGGAGCTGCAGAGCAAACAGGCCTTGGTCTCTCCCTGGATATCTTTCCCTGGACGTGCCTTGGGATGCTGGACCTGTCGGCAAGGGTGGGTTTTGCCTGCAGCCCCTGGGGGCAGGCAGAGTTCTGTGGAACCCACATCGAGAACACTTCACCTGCCCAGAGTGGCTAATCCCAGGAGGCCAGGGATGGCCAGCCCCAGCTTGGCACCCCAATGACCCCCACTTTGTGAACCCTGCTGCCCACTCCCAACTGGGCGTGGCCAACCCATCCCAGCCTCGCCTGGGTTCAGTAGGCAGGCTGGGCTGCGGGCCTCACACCTACAACACACTCTAGGTCCCGCTGGCTTCCCACGGCTTCAGGGACAATATTTGCTTTGAGGAAGGATCAAACATTTATTCTCTAATTCATTCAGGGAGCAGGTTCTCGAACACAAGTGCCCTCAGCACACAGAATGAGTGTCCAGGCTTGGCCTCTGGCAGAGGGTCGTGCCTGCTGCCCAGCAGCACCAGCCTAGCCTTTGTGCTACCCAGCCCTGCTTAGCCTGGCACAGCACCTTCCTGCAGGGCTGTGCAGTGCCAGGCAGGGCTGCCCCAAAGCAGTGTGCCCCCTGGGGGGAATCCCAGCAAGGTTTGGCACGGGGTGCTTGGCCCCTGCACCTGGGCAGTTCCAGCCTAGAGGGCAGATTCCTCGGGGGGCCCACCCTTGCTGGCATTTGTGTTAACCCACATAGTGCGGCCCCTATGGATGGCTACAGGCTGCCTCCTGAGCCCCCAACCAGGCAAAAGACAGGACTGTGCTGCCTTGCGGCCCCTGACCTCAAAGACACCTCCTTGCCCCCGCTGGGCCCCTCAGACTAAACGTCTGCCAGTGTGGCCATGCCCTGTCCCTGTGGGTGCCCCTCCTCCATCCCAGTGTGGAGCCCGGGAGGGTGCCTGTCTCCCCCCTGGACAGAGGTGATGGGGGACAGGTGGGTGGACAGAGGCCCTGAGGAGAGGGTATCCTCTGGGATTCCAGTTCATGCTGGCTGCCCAAGACCTACATGGCTTTGCACCTGCCTCCCCGAGGTCCACACAGCTATAGGGCCAGCAAGGAGCTGGGGTGGCCACTGGTCCCCAGGAGATCTGGGGAGCAGAGGCCAGAGCTGAGCATACAGGGCATTGTGCTCTGTGACCAGGTGACTCAGGGCTCAAGGACAAGGGTACAAACAGAGAGTGGGCAGAGCCCCAGCACAGGCTCACACCAGTGGTCAGGAGTGTCTCCCCATAGCTGGCCTCCTAGAGAAACTGCTCCCTGGCCTGGATGGCTGATGTAGGTTGGGGCCAGGATGGGAGGCGGAGATGTCCAGGCACTTCCTGGGGCATGACCAAATCCCTTCTTCCTCTCTAGAACCTGGCCTGAGCAGGAGGACAGGCCGGCAACCAGCTGGTCACCGAGGCACCCACCATGCCATGTCCACACCTTCTCTGGCCCCATTCAGCCCCATCCTCACAGGGCCACTGAGGAGTACCCATCTTGTAGCCCCAGGGCTGGGCAATGGGGAGCCCGCAGGACCTGGGCACTGCTGGGGCCTCATAGCCGGCTGGTCTGCATGCGTCCATTGGCCTCACAGCTGTGCACAGGCAGCGCCACCTCCTGCGGCCGTCCACTCTTGTCCGGCTGTGGCTCCACGGTGTCTGCATCCTCTGCACCATAGCCCCCACGGAGGCACAGAACCTTCCGGAAGCTCTGGCGGAAGTTGTCAGAGAGGAAGCCGTAGAGCAGGGGGTTGGCGCAGCTGTTGGCATAGGACAGGACCACCACGAAGAAGTAGAGGCCGGCGGAGGTGGGCTCCTCGGGCAGCGTGAAGGCCAGGTTGACGATGTTGACTATGAAGAAAGGCAGCCAGCAGCCCACGAACACCAGCACCACCACCACCACCATGCGTGTCACCTTGCGCTCCGACCGCCGTCGCCGCGAAGAGCCCACACGCACACCCGACGCCTTCACCTTCACCACAATCAGCAGGTAGCAGAGGCAGATGACCAGCAGCGGCCCGAAGAAGCCCAGCACAGACGTGTAGGTGATGAAGGCGGCACCCCACAGTCCCACTGGCTCCGGCCAGCTGAGGTTGCAGGTGCCCCATCCCTCCTGGACGTCAGCGAAGACCAGCAGCGGCAGCGACATGAGCAGAGAGAAGGCCCAGACGGCTGCGCTGGCCAGTTTGGCCACCCGCGGGCGGCGCCACCGGGCAGAGCGCAGTGGATGGACCACGGCCAGGTAGCGGTCCACACTCATGACGGTCAGGCAGAAGATGCTGGTGAACTGGTTGATGCCGTCCAGCGTCATGACCAGGCGGCACAGGAAAGAGCCGAATGGCCAGTAGGAGACTGCGTTCTGTGTGGCCAGGAAGGGCAGCCCCAGCATGAGCAGCACGTCGGCCACGGCGAGGTTGAGGATGTACACGTTGGTGACCGTCTTCATCTTGGCGTGGCGCAGTACCACATAGATGACCAGTGTGTTGCCACCCAGCCCTACCACACACACCAGCAGATACAGGATGGGCACAAGCACTGCCCGGGCACCCACCGAGGATGCTACTCCCCCCTGTGTCCCGTTGTGGCCACCTCCAGGGGTGACCGACACATTCCAGTCCTGCATAGAGGCTGGGAACAGGGGCTCCATGGTGGGGGCCAAGGCCACGTGCTGGCCGAAGCCGTCTCTAGAGAAGAGAAGGACAGGTGTGATGAGTGGGGCAGACGGCATTCCTTCCTCCTGCCTCCCTGCCCCACCCACCTGGTGGCAGGTAAACATTGTTAGTCATGTTCAACTGGGCTGGAAATCACATTAAGCAAATTGTTTGGAAAACAAGGGAGGAAGGAAAAGCCATGTGGTCAGTAGACAGGCGTCTTGGTGAGCCAAGACAGACGTGGCTGTTGATAGCCACAGTGGTCGCTCTGTGACCTCCCACTCCACTGGCCCTGAGGCCTCTTAGACCCCAAGGGGCAGCACAACAGGAAAGGCACCAGGTGGTCAGGGGCCTCCAGAGCAGGACTGCAGCACCCAGCTGACCTGCAGGACATGCAGTGACCTCAGCCCAGCTCTGCTGGGAGTGGGCAATGCTGGGCTCCACAGGGCCTGGGCCTTCCTCCCCCAGGAGGCTCTGCCAGTGTCCACCTGGCTCTAGGGAATGCTATCCCTGGCACATGATGTCCACCTCCCAGCAGCCTGTTTTGAGAAGCTGTGCAGTGGCAAAGGCACCAGAGGTCCCTATACCTGGACAGTGGCCACAGCCTATGGACTCCAGAGAGGGTGACATGGAGCTAAATGACCTAGGAAACAGCATGGGAGCAGGTGGACACGAGAGATGTACAGAAGGTGCTGGCCAAGGACACAGCCCAGGAGGGTGCAGGACTGGGGGGACAGAACCCAGTGGGGACAGGCACGTGTGGTATCAGTGGAGAGGCAGAGACAGGCACAGAGTACATCGACATGGCAAGTCCAGGGGTAGGCACACATCAAGGTGCATCTTTCATAGGAAGATGAGGCTCACGAGGGAGTAGCTGCCTGCCCAGGAGGAACGGCACCAAGGGGCAGCCACTCTGGACCCACAGAGCCCCTGCGCCTGAGCCAGGGCTGCTAGCCACGATCAGTGTCCTGAGTGACCCACACTATCTCAGACAGGGGATGCTCACACCACTGCCAGGGCTGGGGACACCAGGGATGGGGCATAGGCAATTAAGCCTGGAAGACAAGACAGGACACCCTTCTACCCTGGGGTCCACACCCACACCTCCAGTCACCTAGGTTGCAGGCCAGGCTGCTCAGCACTGGCTAGTCGGCCTGGAAAGTTGGCAGGGGGATGGGCCATGAGTTCACTTCAGGTCCAGCAGGGCCATGGGGGTTACCTGCTGCGCAGAGACTGCTTCAGTGTGTTAGGGGTCTCAAGCAAGGCCTGGACAAAGATTGTCAAGGAAATTGACTTTCTTGGTGGGAAGGTGGTAGGGATTGAATCCAAGGGTGCTCTGCCACAGAGCAGCACCCCCAGACCTTTTTATTTTTTATTTTAAGACAGGGTCTCACTTTCTTTCCAGGCTGGCCTTGAACTTGTGATCTTCTTGCCTCAGCCCCAAGTTGCTGGGATTATAAGCGTGAGCACTGTATCGTACCCAGTCCCTATAAATTTGACTTTTAAGAAGTAAAATGAACAAGTGTCTATTCTTAAAAATAACAGACCTTTGTCATGAACAAATACAGTCATTTAAATGCACAAACAAAACCCAAGCCCAGCAAAGTCCAGATCAGCTCCAGTTTGGAGAGTGTTGAACAGATAATCGGGGAACTGAATGGGGCTGAAGGAGCCCAGCACAGCAGACTAAAATATCAGCCAGGGCTACAGGGCGAAGCTGCAAAGGACAGAGAGGCATCTCCCACAGACATGCTGTGTCACCAGCAGAGGAAAGTCATGGCCACTGAGCAGCATAGCATCAAGGACGAGGAGGGAACCCTCAAAAAGACCAGGTAGAGACAAGAGGAAAGCATCGCCTGGTGTCAGGAGTGACGGGAGGACAACGTGCTTCCATCAGCAAAGAGGAGCTGCAGCCGGGCAAACCTGAGAGACCAGGCTGCCACCTGGAGTCCTCCTAGTGGAGCGCCCGGAGCCAGAAAGGGGAGGACTGCTCAGGGCTGTGTTGCCCGGGTGGTCAGTGAGGCTGCAGGTGTGTGGTGAACATTTGTGTTGCAGAAACCTACCTAGCAAAAAGTCAAGGTAGGTGCCTGTCGGAAATGACTGCTTTTTAAAGGCCGTGTCAGGGAGTCCCTCTGGCTAGACTCCAAGTCCTCGGGTCTGAAGGGCTGTCAGGGCATGGGACGTGGTACCCGTTGCTTCAACCAGCATCTGCATGTGGCCAGGAGCGAGTCTGCCTCAGATACAGGCTGCCCTAGAAGCTGGCCCTGGAGGACAGCAAGGGGGCTTGTTTATCTGTCCCCAAGGCCTGGCCCCAAGGGCCTCTACACATTTCTAAAGGAAGCTGAGCATTTAAAGTAATGTTTATGGCTCCCATGGACAGCTGTGGGAAGGCCTCTAGGAGGCCTGTGGTCTGGAGACAGCAGATCCTGGGAGAGGCAAGGTGAGTGACGTGCATGGGCTGCGGTCACCCTCTCCCCACAACACCAAGGAAGGGCTTCTAGCCCATACCCCTGAGGCCTGAGCAGGACAGAGATGATCAAGCAGCCCTGAAGGTGGGCTGCCCACTGGTGGGGGTGGCTCAGGTCCTTTCTGTCACAGGCCTCGGACTCTTGAACATATGTTTGATCTTAAGTAAATTCCTCTTGTCTGCAGCTCTCAGCCACTCCCAGGTGCCCCAGTTACCCAGAACCCAGGAGGGCTCAGCAGGCTATCAGGCCTCCACTTCTGCTGCCGGTAACCACGTCAACTCTCCAGTTATACTTCATAGCAGGAAAGAAGGAAACAGGCCCCCATGCTACTCCAGCCTCTTGGAAGCTCATCCTGACAGGCCATTAATCAGAAGCAGCAACTTTAGTCTCAAAAAATAGGCACCTGTGAAAAATTGCCCCAGGCCCCTTTCAGATGCAGCAGGAGGGAAGTGACCATGGGGCCTGTGGCACCCAGACCCCCCCACCCCCCAGGAAAGGATCTACTTAGCTGGCCCACTCTCATGGCACCAGGAACAGGCCCGGCCCACACACCTGCCCCACTCTGGCTGTGTGCTCCTGAGCAAGCCAGGCTGCTTCTCTGAACCCTGGCTTCAGGAGCAGCACCTCCTGCCAACTGCAAAGTTACTGAACACATGAGATAAGCTCAGGCATGAAGACAGCAGGTGCAGGGCCTGGTGCTCAGTCATTGTTCCCACAGGCCACCCTAGGTAGCTCAGCTTCTCCCCAGCATCAGGAAGGGCATCTGCCCAGGCTCCTGGGAGAAGGTGGGCGGGACAAGGGCCTGGGAACAAGGATGGGTCTCAGAACCTGTGTCCCCTGGGCCTGGCAGCCATGGTCAGGCCAGCCCCCAATAAAGTCTGCAATAGCCAGCATCATCAGGTAGCTGGAGCTTGGAGAGGTACGAGTGCTGCAACTCAGGGGATTCCCAGACCCCTGCCTCACCAGGGGGAGAGCATACCAGTGTTCTTGTGAGCAGGAGCAAGCATAGACTGCATCTTGGCTGAGACAGCAGCCTAATCCTGCCACCCTCCCCGAAGACAAGCTTCCTGACCTCTGCTTCCTCTGTTGGGACCCCCTCCCCTGCCCCCAGCAAGGCTCTGACTGTGCAACCAATGGCAATCCCCACTCCTGCCCCTCCACTGTCTTTAGGGCAGCCTGGGGCCAGGGGCAATATCCTCCTCACATTAAGAGAAACAGGTGGGAGCAGGCAGGCCAGAGCTGCACAGTCCCCCTCAAGGGCTCAGAAGGGTCTGTATGGCCAGGAGATATTTCAAGACTACCTTCCACCTCCAGCCCACTTCTTTGGAAATTTCCATGGTTACTTTCCTGGGGAATCAATACTGGGTCATGATCATTAATGTATGGACCACCTCTGCCCTGGAGGCTCCGGTCCCACCCTATTCCCAGAGTTTGGGGACTGATCCAACACACTTGGTAACCACAACTGGCTCTGGGTGACCTGGCTCCTAGCCTCCTTGCCCTGGGACACACCTGGCAGCTGGCAGGTTCTGGGGTGGACAGGGTCTGCACCCCACTGCAGGGTATTCTTGATTTCCTGGAGGAGTGGACATACTTGGAGGTCAGGTGGGCACAAGTGCCCAGCTAGGGTAGATGAAGCTCTGTTCCCAGCAGGCAGGGGTGCACCCCAGTCCCCCAGTTGTGAGAGGCACCTCCAGAACCCCAGACCTTAATGCTGCATCAGGCCTTGGGCCCCAGAGTTGGTCATACTCTACCTGCAGCTTAACTGCAGCTTGAGGACCCTTGGCTGAGTACATGGATCTCCACCTCCCTCCTCCTTCCCCAGCCCAAAGTTGGCCAACCCCACCTTACAAGCCGCCTATCCTGCACTCTAGGCTCCTACTGCCTCCATACCGTTTCCTGAACCCCCACCAGTCCCAGCCTCAGAGCCCTCCCACCAGTCCCAGAGCACCCTCGGGCCATCTGGGTTCCTGTAGCTTCTGCCCTGACCTGGGTACAAGGGGCGGCCTCCAGAACGCAGAGGTCTGAGGGCGACGAGGGGAGGGGGCTGAGGAGAGGAAGGAGTGCAGCTGCCCAGTCTGCAGAGCAGACGGAGGGGGACACAGGGCAGCAGCAGGTGAATCCTGCGAGTGTCCCGGGCCCGGGTGCGTGGGCGCCTGGGCGCGCCTCAGGCACTGGGTGCGCAGCCGGTCCCCAGGCCAGGGTTGCGTGCAGAGCGCTGAGACCTTCGGAGACGGTAAAATAGACCCGAGCGGGACCTGGGCCGGGGCGCAGGGCAGGGGCTCCCGCGCTGGATGCGGTGGGCAGCGCGGCGGCACTCACCTGGCCAGCGGCTCCATCGGG